GCCAGAGATGAACTTAATTCTTCTTATGTGTGAAAGATATCTGCAATTTAAATGACTAATTGCATTGTAGCTTTAGGCTGAACATATTGGTAACGCGCAAATGTTGATGACATGTGAAGGGTCAAGAGATTTATAATTTAGTTGACAATACATTGCTTAAAATGATGTGGCAAAGAGCCAGAAAATTTCAGCTTAATAATTGTCTATTAACTAACATGACATATTTGTATAGTATTCATTACCTCCAGGTACAGATTAAGCATCTGATGTACCCATACGAAGTGACATGCGTACATGAATCTTGGGCATAATAGTGAATAAACTGACATTGCATTCGCAGTAATTTGTTTCAATATGTAAAACATGTTGTTGCCTACATTTGAAAGGACTTGTAGGAATGTTGCAATGAAATCTGAGGAAAAATGTGTAGCTGAGTAGAGTTCTCTATTACATAGATGTGACGGCTTCGTGAGGCTTTTTTGTAGGCTGCAGGTATCATCATAAATACACATTTGTTTTCAGCTGCACAAGAAGCAGCCTGAATATAGAGATCTAAGTCTTTCAGAATTGGCTTGATCTACAAGGTTAAAAAAAATAATCCCAAAACCCCAACCTAACACAACCAACTTTATTTTTAAAAAAGAATCATATAAATATTGAGTAATGTAATATGTTAGTATTGTTAATGTGGGAGTATTTCTGTCAGACCAAGGTTTATTAGAATAGGCACTATCAGTAGGCTGCCTTGTCACCAAACTAATATCAGCTTCTTTCACTTTGTTTTCTCTGGCCTAAGTTAGGCACTTGTTTGTACAAGCAAAACTGTCACAATTCTGACAGGGTCTGTTCCTTTCCCCCTTGCTGCTGGGGGAGACTCAGGAAAGTGTTTGAACACTCCACAATGTGTTCATTGCTTTTTAACCTTTTTTCCTTCTATGAGACAGGAATGTGCTTTGTGTTTTACAGCTGGGAAACTAATGTACAGTAGACATCAGTGACCTCAGTGTGACCACAGGTGACAGAGATGGGGCTTTAACCTGGATGCTTTTACTTTAACTCACCAGGTGCTCTTATGACCTTTCAACAACATCTCTGCTGCACACAGCTGTAATTTTTCAGTGCTTGGAGATGTCATTGAAAAGTGTCTCATGACCTTGCTTCCTTCTGCTGGTGGTATTTTTATAATGTGCAGCAGAGCTGCGATAATAGTTTGCTCTCTTGGGATCTTGGCTCTGGGACTAGGATGTGTTTATGCCACACCAAAAATTGAAATGAGAACTCTTGGCTTGGCTTTTAACATTTGACTGAACACTTTGCTCTCTTAAAGTGTACCACTCCCAACAGTTTAAAATTTTGAATGTGATTGGTGTGAAGCCATTGAATTTTAGAAGGGAGCATGTACTCCACCAGGAGCAGCTCGCTGAGCCTGACCCAAACTTGGTGAGAAGGAAGGTGTCTGCTGACCTCCCTGAGCTTTGTATCAGGGCCTGTAGAATAGCTCTGAGCAATTTTGATATCCGTGTCAGTACCCATGACTTGCAGATCACAGATCTCTTGCTTCATATACCTTGGAGACTAGAAATAAGGTGGTGATGGTGGCTCAGGTAAAGGAAGAGCTTCGTTTTGAGCTGTGGCTCTGTATCAACTTCACGCTTGCCTTTTCAGAGTTGGTATTTAATTCTCCATCCAACCACTAGAGAGAGCTCTAGAGATCTTAAAACAGGTTTCCAGAGGAACCCCTCAACAAAACTAGCTGCCCAAGAGCACGGGACTACAGCAGGAGCTCCACGATGTCTTCTGCTGCCAAGATGAGTGAGAGTAACCGATCTCTGTCAAGTGTGTATAAAAGGCTCTGAGGATCAAGAAGGGGTGACAGCATGCTGTTTTGGAGAAGTTGCTGACTGGACTCAATTCTGAATCAAAAGCAGGGCTGCTGCTATCGTTACTTCCTGGGACTGATTTTAAGCGGGCTGGTGATCTCGGTGCTGAGAAGGGTGGTTTACAGTGGTGCAGAGTTACATTGCTGCAGCGCCCTACCTGGTTTACTAACAGGGTCTGTCAGCTGTGATACCAATTTTGATATACTGATAGTTAGCCCTCCTGGGCTGCATATCTCTATGTCATTTCCCTTTTGGAAGGAAGGCAGGGCTGGGGGGTTCAATGAAAGGCAGGAAGTTAAGGGTAACAAAAAAAAAAAAAAAAGAGGGGAAAAAAGAGAAATTGTTAGTTAAAGCACTAATGATCAAATGTCACATAAGGAGGATAGAGGCTGATTGCAGTACCCTTTGCTAGAATTAATTGTACAGGGATGCATTTTCTATTCACGTACTTTATACTTGTCTGTGGCCTGGTTAAAAAGCAGCACTTTTTCAGTTTCTCTCAAAAGAGACTCACAAAACTGTCTTGGGGTAGGCTGAAGACCAGCAGTGAGGAATCTCACAAAATAGCAAGATGCAAGCGGTTGCTGCCCAACTGGGAGAAACATAATAGAGATGTCTGGAAGCAAGGAGTGGGCTGGTATTTTTCAGGTCTCAAAAGCAGTGTGGTGTAGCTTCTGTGCAGGAAGGGGTATATGAGATGTGTTTTAAAGAGAGGATTATTGACTGCTGCTTAGGGCCAGAGAAGGTCAACCTGCTGCCCAACAGGGTTTTGCTCAAGTGGAGCCTCTGAGAACTGAGAGGCAGAGGATCTTCCCGTGAAGTGTCCCTTGTGTCAGCTGAGAGCTCAGAGGTGGGCACTTCTTAAGTAAGGTCTTGGACATTAGCAGAGGCATCTGTGATGGTTCATTGTGGTGTGCAGAACTTGGACCACTGCTCGGTCCAAATTTCAAAACAAAACCATGAAAAAACAGTGTTTCAGTAAAACTATAGAAGACAGTACCTAAAAGGAGTTATTGCTCAACACTGCATAAATTTACTTAAAAGTGAGTTCCCCAACATCATCCCAATCTGGACTGGACTGACCTAGACTGTTTGTTGGCTGCTTTAATTTTAAAAAACCATCATGTACTTTGAGAGAAGGACCTTTTCTTTTAATTTGTGCTAGCAGCTGTTGGTTGTTAAAAAGCTCCTGGCCCCTGAAATGCTGTACTCAGTAGCTCTGATAAACCATAGTGATGCTATGTGAAACTTAGAAGTATGAACTGCCTGTCTTAGAAAACAGGACTCCAGGATAAGCTTTGGCTTTGGATGTGGTGTTACAGCATAACATCGCTTTACGTCTGCACTGGGCACGATGGGTAAGAATTTAGGAATAAACAAATCCATAACTCTGTCTTAAATGCAGGCACTTTGAGGCTTCTGCCCTATTGCAGCCAAAGCAAGCTGGGGGATTTGTGCCATCTGCCTCCTTTTTGTAAGGGAGTGAACAGGATTGAGGTGGTTTTGTTTGATGTCTTTTTAAAGGTAAGACTTCTAGTCTAATGACTTATTTAGAGAGAAAATACTTTCACCTCAGTAAAGTTCTTTGAATTATAAAGGACATTGCTGTTGGGTTACTGAAAACCCTTGGGGTTTGTTTCATTTATAACATTGCCTCAGGCGTTCTGCTGCATCCTGTTGGATTGACCTCCTTTTCAACCCGTGCTGGCAGCTGCATTGCAGAGCTATCTTTTCCCTGGATCCTTCAGGGTTGTCATATGACAGACTTGAACTGTGACCCTTTTGTGTCTTACCAGGACAGCAGTGCCCTCTGTGTGATGTGGCCAGCAGTCTTCCCCACGCACACATTTGTTCCAAGCCATTTAACAAACTGAAAGTTTCAAATGATGGCATTTCATAGTGTTTAATAGTATTGACTGTAAAGCAAATGAAATGGTGCTGAATACCCTGCGTGCTGCTTGTAAGAAATACAGCTTCCATTTCTGCAATGTGCCCTGGGTTTTCTGTGGCTAGCGTGTGCTCTCTGGTGAATCTCCTTATATTTTTTAATAAATTTCAGTGCTTCCCTCCTAATGACAGTAGCATTCACCACTACAGTCCAGCAGTGGTATTTGTTTCTAATATATGGGGGGTTTAAACAGATTTCTCTAAGCAAAGTGGGCAAAGTCATTTTGCTGAAGTCTTGCAGAGAGTGTTAGGGTAAGAATTGATATAGTTAACACTGCATCTAAGCAACACCATCTCCAAGTGGTGTTGATGCTGGCAGGCATTGCCTTGCTGAAGTTACAGAGACTGAGTACTCATATTTGTACAAATTACATTCATTAGCAAGAACCCTCCAGTAGTGATAAGAGACTAGCTGTGTAGCATAGATTGGCTCCAAGATAAGTAGCCAGTCTATTGTGCAGCTCATGGTACTCTGCCTCCTCCCCACCCCTAATAATAAATCTTGGGACATTTTGGAAAGCGTGGGGGTTGCTCATTCCAGTAGCCTGAATGCATAACTACTAAACACCATCATCTCCTACCAATTGTGTTTTCATAACCAAGTGAGGCAACTGACTGAGAGAGATAGGCTCAGATACCATGTTCTGAACATCTGGATGCTTTGACAGAGTATTTTTTGCTCCCTTAAAGGACAGATCACAGAAGATGGCCAGGATGAGAGTTTCTCCTGCCCATGTTCCAAGGCCTAGAGCCCACTCACAGTGGTGTTTTTCTTCAAGAAGAGATGGAAACATCTGGAGCTTGGGGGCTTGCAAGTGCACAACCCAGGGCTCTGTGGTAGTACCTTCTTCATAGTTAGCTTGTCCTTTCTTAGTGCAAGTGTCTGCGTAGCAGACTTCAGTGAAATAGCAGTTATTTATCTTACCATATTAATATAACTTCAAAGAAAGACAGAACTTTCTGGTTGCTTTGACTGAAATAAACCATCAGCTGGCAAGTACTTGCTTTGTCTTCTGAAGTATATAATGTGCAAGGACTTCTGGATTGCTGGTTTTCAACCTGTAAAGCTGAACATCAGCAGGATAGTTTTATACAAGTAGGCAGTATAATCCAACCAGTTTGGTTAAAACTTGTATTTACATGGAATGTTTTTTTTCTCTCTCCCCCATTTAGGGTTTGAATGGCAATGGAATTGCTCCTGGATCATCAGGTTTTAGCCTTACAAAGCCGATGCTCTGTCCAAGAGTAACCCGTGTCTGTCTCAGGGACTTGATATTCTGCATGGAACAAGAGAGGGATATGAAGCATTCTCTGCACTTGTACCGTGTTCTTCTGAAGTGATTTGAATTTTACATTTGACCTTGCTGTCTACTGCCAAAGAAAACACTGAAGCATTGTTGCACTGTCTTGAAATTCCGATTTCTGGAAAATGATCCGTTGTAAGGATAACTCTTGTTTACAGATAAACATTTTTATTAAATACCTAACTGAGCACCTGTCAGGTTTTTAATAATATTTGGCTTCAATCAGTCTGTAAACCAGTGAGAACACTGAGCTGCACACAACAAGCACCTGACTACCTGCTTGCATTTAACTGTCTTGCAGGCTCTGAGGGCTTGATAAGTGTCCCTAGTTTATGTATGTCATTTGCTTCAGTACTCCAGAGTCTGCAACATCTGTTCTATGTGTGGTGCCACCTTCTAATCCAACCTTATTTAGGGAAACAAATAACACTTTAATGGCACTGCATAGCATGGCAACTGTATTTAATTATGAACCAGCTGTCAGTCAACATGCTAATGTATTGCCTGTCTGACTCAGCATCTTCTTAAATTTTCTGGGTTTAGAATTAATGCTGGATGCTCATTTTTGGAGAGAAAGTAGCAAGCAAAAGGAATGAGGGGTCCTTTCTACCCTGCACTTTGCCTCAATTGCCCTCACACTTTCCTCTGAGAAAGTGGCTGAGGGAAGGTGAAGAAATGGGTTGCTCTTGTGATTGAAGTACATCAGACAGTGTAGTTAGGGCATACCTTGATGTTTGGGGAAAATTCGGAATTACTAAAAATACAAAGAGTGAAAGATCCTAAAAAGGAAGGGTAAACAGAAGAAACAGTCTAACTTTCTCTAGATATAAAAAATAGCATTGAACTTGAGTATAGATGTGAAAAGAAATGAACAAAAACAACCTGTGATGACTACAAAAAATGGGAGAAGTTGAAATGCATTAAAACTCTGCATCTGGAGACTCTATTAAGGAGAGGAGCAGGGTTTGCAAAGCACGGGATTCACTGCTTTGGAATATTGATTTAATACCTTAACGTGGTGTAACAGGGAAACTACTCAAGTAGAAAGTATTTATACAGTTGCCTGGTTTCCATTCAGTAAGGAGGAGGACTCTGGATTATTAAGACTGCTAGAATAGATTCAAAGATTTTTTTCCTTGCTGGTAAAGACTGCCTTGTGGTGGAAGGAAAACCCTCTGGGTTGCCCTTCTCCCCAGCCTCCAAGCATTTTGCCTTCCATGACACAGCGCTGTATAGCATGGCTATTTCCCAGGACTGGTGGGAAAGGCACTGACTGTATTCACAGAATAACAGAACACTCTGAGTTGGACGAGACCCTCAAGAATCATCAAGTCCAACTCTTAAGTTGAACGGCCTGTATGAGGATTGCACCCACAACGTTGGCGTTATTAGCACCATGCTCTAACCAACTACTGAATGGCTTCCTGCTGAAACTTTTTTCTTTTAAAGAAAAAGCTTCCTATGGTTATTTGGCATGCTGCTTCAAAACTTGAAGCGATAATTCATGCACCCTCCACTGTCAGAACCACTGCAGATAGTTACCAAATTCACTGTTTTGAATCAGTTATGTTGGTTTTTGTTGGAACAGTAGTAAACAAATCTAGTAAATGAATGCTGTAAATTATTTATATATGTATATATGGCATATATATATATATATATATAAAAGAAAAGCAGTACTTTAACTAAGCTATAGTTTGCAAGATATTGATGGCATTGGGCAAAATTGTTTTGTATAATTAAATGCTTAGCTTTACTTTTTATGTAAAGTGCAGCATTTTCCATATTTGTGTACTGTATCTTATTGATCAGATGTTAAAAATTATTTTAAATACTGCATTAAAGCGATTATTTTATTAAAAATAATAAATCAGTAACTTTGTTTCCTTACGTGAGCAATTCAGCGTCTGAAGCTGTCAGCACCATGACTAATGGTTTGACTCCGAGAGCGAGCCCCAGCTGTCTGCCCATCACAGGAGTTGGCATGGTTGCCTCACGTGACATATTAATTATAAACATCTTATTTGAAGGATTTTTAAACAGAAGTAGGTGACAGAGCAAAGGATTTAAAAGAATAACTTGAAGCAGGGGGTGGGCAGTGAGAAAAGCAACCTCTTGATTTCCCTCTCCCAGTCAGCACAGAGACTGGGTTGTGGGGTTCTTTAACAGCTGGGCAGAGGTAAGCGCTTTGCACGTGTTCTGGGAAGTGAAAACACGAAGTGTCTCAGACTTCAGCAATGCGCTGTGGAAGCACTGTCCTAAATTATTTTTAAAGCAGCTCACAATTAATTAAGTGCAGGCTGGAGAACCACAGTGAGCATCTGCATATTGCCTGCCTCTTCATCTTCTTTAACCCAATGCAAAATGCAAATGAAAGATGTTGGAGAAAATAATTTAATTGATAGATATATCGAAAGTATGATAGATGATTCAGGTGTTTTTGTGGCCTGTGATGCAGATCATGTGCTTTCATTGCTGCCAGAGCAAGTTGTCTCTCAGCAGTAGATTCTCCCTGTGTCCTACCTCTTTCCCCTGTGTCCACACCAACCCCAACCCCAAAACACCCCTCAAACCCAAAATTTCTATGCTGTAAGGAGTAGCAGATGTTTTTAGAAAGGTTTTTCTGCAGGTAATTTAGGCCTAATTTCAGACAGGGACAGGTTTGTCCTTGGTGTAAAGACTGAAGATATTTGTCTCCTTAACAAGGGTTCATCCCACCTCTCATTTGAGCTCAGCTTTGCTTCTAAGAATAGCGTCCTCTAAAGTGGCACTTAGGAGATACCTGGGCTTTGCTCAGCCACATCAGGAGTTAAAGGAGAGATGACCAGAGGTTTTCTTCCCCCCTTCTCTCTTCCTGCCCTTTATGGGAATACTAAAATCCCAGTCATAAGGTGATGAAGCCAAAACCTGCCATCATGCTCCCTTGCCTTTTACTTCCTAGTATGCTCATGTTCAAGCTTGGGAACCTAGCAGCAGAACTGTCTGTGCCATCCGTGCTCGGAGGGCTCCAAGGCTTGCTCCAGGCACTTTCTGCTTTCCAGCTGGCCAGCTAACCTAGTGGCTGTTTCTGATGCACTGAGCTGGCTGGGCAACTATCCCTGCCACTCAAGTACTTAGCCTTTAGAGAAAACAGTATATAGCACTGTGGGGGAAAACTGTTGTTTGCTCTTGACTACTACTGTCTTAGCATCATAGTATGACAAGTTTTGTGTGTTACTTGGTGACAAAAGGGGCCCCTGTACTCTCCAACTGCTGCTTTTCCCCTTTATTGCCATTTTCAAGTCTTAGCACTGAATCCAGCCCTTTGCACTGTCTTTGACTCCAGCTTTTCCCTTCTCCCCCTGGGAAAGCCTAGCTGGAGTGCACTAACACACCCTGCAGCTCTGTTCGAGGTTTAATGAGGAAGGTAGCGGGGGACCATGAGACATTGCTAGATGATTCCTCAAAGCCATTGCACTCTCTTGGACACTTTGACACGAGTAGCTTAAGGCTACTGTTTGCATCGAGTTGTTCTAGGCCCCCTCTCTTTGTAGGCACCTGTGTCCTGCCATGTGAGTGCACTGTGCTGAGCAAAAGTGCTGTCAGCTGTTCTCCAGGTTCATCTCTTTACTCTGTTCTTTGCTTTCCTCTTCATTTGTAATCACTGGGGTGAAGAGAGAAAGACTAAAGCAAATGAGGATTTCCCAAAGGGGCAGACAGTCCAAATGATTGGACTTGGTGAAATGGGCTTGCTCCCAGCAACTTTTCAAATGAGGGCTGCTGGGTTTCTGAGGCCAAGCATTGCACACTCTGCACGTAGCACACATGATGTCTACACATGCTCTGAAAGCTGGATCCAGCCATTGTTACCCCAGGTCTCACGGCTGGAGCCTGCAGCTCTGGAAATAACTACAATCTGCAGTGAAGGCTTTACTCCTTTGAGGGGTGCAAAATTGAGTACCAAGACTGAAGAATGTAGCACACCAGACCTCTCTGTTTTGCCACTTTTGGCTCTGGGCTCATCACCATGTCTCAGTGGCTTGTCCCACTGTCATTCTGTAGAAAGGCTGCCTTTCTGCAGGCCACAGTGCCAGTTCTTCACTTGGTGCAGGTCTTTTGTAAGCTAGACAGGCATCCCATTTGGCTTTGTAACACTTTGAAGGAATAAGCAATAAACTTTGTCTTTTCAGATATATCGGTCCTTGTTCCTACTGCCTCTTCTTTCCTCTTCTATTACAGGTCACTTCTTGCCTGCTCTCTGTAGCTATTCTGCCAGGTTAGCTGCTAACTTTGCTACCCAATCTCTCCTCAGGATCCCCTTCTTCACAGTTCACAGATTCCCTTGAGGCAGCTTGCTTTCGAAAAGGTTTTTGCGTGAAGGAGGGAGGAAAAGGATCTCCATCCTGGACTTAAATGGTTACTCTGAAGTGGAAGGAGGTGGTGGCACAGGTCAGCTCACAGCACTGAGACTGCTGCTTTCTGTGCAGGGAGAAGGTCTTTGCAGGAAGTTGATGTTCATGGTGGCCAAGATTTCTACCATGAAGTCCTAATTCAGTCAAGGGTTTTCTACAAGGTCCTTGCATCAGTAGGCACTTCCCACCTTCCAAGGGATGTTTCCGTGGCAGAGCCACCTAAAGGTCCTGCTGGATACCCTATCAGAGGTAGTCATCCGTTCTCTTCCTCAATCCCCATCTCCCGCAGCTCTTCCATGTATCTCATTTTCAGCCTGTGTCAGTCTCAGAAGTAGTAAAGGATATAGAGCCATGTCCTGTGTGATTCAAGTGGTCACTGGGTGGTGCAGAGGCCCCAGGGGGTGGCCGATATGTATTTCACCAAAGTTTTGCCCATCAGTAGTGTCACTGAAAGACTACCTCCCCTGGGGCTGTGCCCTGGTGAGAGGGAGCAAAGGTGGGGGGTCCTCTGCGTAGGTACTGCTAATGCAGAAAAGTCCATCTCAGCAGCTCGGCATGCATGCTCCCGCTCCACAGGCTTTGCTTGAACAACTGCAGTTATCAGTAAGCATTCACTCTCTCTCTACCAGATCACAAGGCATATTATTTTTAAATCTATTTGAAATGAAAAGTTATCTGACAGATCATCTGTATCTGTTTTTGAGAGCTAATTCATAATTCCATGTAGTTCCCCAAGCTTGAGATATTTGCTCTTCCACTTTGAAGTATTTAGCATGACGGGGTTTATTATTTACAGTTATTTTAAGGTGTTTCTTATTTCTGCTCTTAGAAGCTGGAAGGGAGAAAGGAAGTATTTTTTTCCAAGTAATTATGTGTGAATATACATGTACTCTGTGTGTATAAGAATGGCTAAGTAACTTTTAAAAAAAAAATACCCTACTTCTTTTAAAGACTGAGTTAGAGCAGCTCCCAGGTGTGAAGCTCCAGCAACAAGCAGAGAGGGAGAGAGGGAGGAAGGAGATAAATTCTCTTCTTTCTTTAAGAGGTTTCAAGTTTTAATGTGTTAAAGTCCTTTGATACCTTTCTGCAAAATTGGGCAGAGAATAAAGACTCCTTAGAAAAACTGATCAGTGGGAAGTCTCAAGAAGGGAGGGTAGGAAAAGGAGAAGGCATTCAGAGGATCGAAAACAGAGCTCACTCCTCTCTCCAGGAGCTTCAGTGATACCCCTACATGTGTTCTGGCAGAGGCTTTCATTTATAGAAACGACAGAAAAGGGCCTTTCTAGAAACAAGGTGGGTATGTGTAGGCAGGCTATGTATTTAATGAAGCAGACTCATCGAGGAAGAAATCCTTGTATTGCTGCTTCCTTCTCAATGCAGTTTTCATTTTTAACTTCATGTCTCTTAAACTTTGGAAAAACCCTCTGTAATTATCTCATCTCTCTTTGAAGGAGTGGCAAGGACTATGGCCAGCTGCAGCCCCGTGCTGCAGTCCAGGCACAGAGCTGAATCACTATGGGATGCAGGACAGGGGCCACGTGCTGTCCATGAGATTTGGTGGCCTGACACTGAAACAAGAGGCTGGAATGAGCACAAGGTCTGTAGATACAGTAGATATACCAGGAGACGTGTAGATACAGTGGGGACTATTCAAGATGTGAGAGCTGAAGCTGTTTTCCTCTACTGATGTGAATAAACCACGGTTGGAGGCTTACAGCCCTTGTGAACATCTGCCTTGCATCAAGCTGAGCTGGTAATCAAGGTTGCTCTACTTCTTCTCGGGGTCAGGTCTGTAATTTTCAGCACCCTGCCTTTCACAAGCTGATTCCGTAGCCCTTTGCAGCCTGGCTGGCAGGTGGTGCGAACTCAAAGAGGCCTCATCTCACACAGCTCTCAGAGTCTTTGCTTCTAATTTGAAAGCTTTAGCCTTCTTTATTACAGGGGGGAAAAAATTGAAAGTGACCCAAACTTCAGGTACAGAGGGCAAATATTAAAAGTAAGGTTGTTTTTGCCTTTGAAATTCCACACTTCTTAGAGACTGTTGGTGAGTGATGCCCCAGAGCTGAGGAGGATGGCTCCAGAAAGAGATCCCCTCGAGTGTGCAATCAACTCTTCACAGCAGTCTGCTGAGGATGCTGAAACAGAAATCAGTTTCGAGTCTTTTTTCCCATGCAGTAAAGAAGAACCTGTGGGAAGGTTTTGCCTGTGTCCTTACACAAAACCAGGATATCCAGTAATTAGTGAGAGATACCTCCAGGGCAAGCTCAAATTTTGCAACACTTCCCAAGGCAGGGAAAATGCCCCAGGCTAGGGCAGTCTTGGGAAGAGAGTGAGTCAGGAAGCTTTTTTTTCTTACTTTTTTTTTTCTCTGTAGTCATGATCAAGTAAAAACTTTGTGGGGAAGAAAACTTTGCAGGGACCAGACTCTTCCAGACCTCCCT